TATTAAATAAATGCACAGCCATTTGCACTCTGCATCGAAAACATATATATGAACGCGCTGTTGCACCTCTGATAACTTTTAAGGCTTATTCTGTGGTGTTTATATAAGCCTTTTGACGGGTTGTCACGGAGCTGTAAAAACGGTTACACTCACCAAGTGAATGAATCGCGTTTGTGCCGAACTCTTATTACAAAGCAAAAACAAACACTCTTCTTCTGTCCATGAACGTTTCTCTCAGTTATAGGGATATGCCGGTCTCAAATTTTCATGTTGCGATTAATTGCTCATGCTTTTATCACGGTATACGGTATTATCACGGTATTGAAATTTAGTTTAAAAAAAGTGCTGTCATTATACAGTATAACAGGTTTAATAACTTTTTTCTTATAACAAAAATAACTGAACATTTAAATGCAATACAATATCTAGGACATGTTGTAGTCCAGATTAAAATGTAAAAAAATTTTTTACATTTTTTTGAAAATAAATAGCCTATTAAGTCTAAATATTTAAGTATTTGGCTCTGTGATGAACATCATAGCAAATACACAAATCTGAATGGCTGTTTAAATCATTTAAACATGATTCAGAAACAGAAAGTAGTGCAGCTGCTTTGTTTACAGGGTTTCCGGGGTAACGGGTGCATTTAAATGAATTATAATTATTTCTGCAGTTTAGCGCCATCTGCTGTCAGAGAGTGAAAGTGCGCTTTCATCCAGAGCGTCTCTCACATGTTCCGCCATGTGCTTCTCGTCCGCACTTATTTACATCAGAGTGAGCATGCATCTTTCTTGCAGCATACAGCGGTGTTGTGCATTTTGACCAGTTGATGGGAAAAGTATTCTTAAAATGCATTCAAAATTCTGAATAATTTATAATATATAATCACGGTATTTAGAAGTGCCCACGATAACAATATCGTGCATATTCATTACCGTGATATATCGCAGTACCGAATACCGGCACAAGTCTAGTCAGCTATTGTGCGCGATGTCATCTCGCCGACTCTGAAACGTCTGTCATAGCAAATCAAAACATGCTGTTGTGAATAATTAAGCGAAACGTCTTCTCATAGGATAAGAACACTCAGTCTCATGAGTAATTTAATAGACACCGACACGTCATCGATGTACTATTAGTCCATTGCCACGTCACAAATTGTGACGTCAACACAATGTAGATTTTAAACCCGGAAGATGAAAATGGCGCAAAAAAGCTTAAAATTAACCAGTTTTCTCCAACAGTTAAAATTATCAGATGCTA